CCCCAAAACCCCAAAACCCCAAAACCCCAAAACCCCTTCTCAAGAAAGGCCAAGAGGTTATATAATATATATTATGAAAGGAGCCATCTTTACTCTGATCCTAGTACTTGCATGTATCTCTAGCTCATATGCCTTCTGGTCAACTGGGCACATGATCATCTCCAGGATCGCCTATGAGCAACTTAAAGAGAAGAACGAGACCTTGTACAATCTTATTGAAGAAGACATCAAACTTTTACAAGAATTCTCTGTTGAGGTTAATCATAGTTTTGTGGAAGCCGCAATCTGGGCTGATGATAATAAAGAGATCGCCTTTAATCAATTCACTGAATGGCATTACGCTAATACTCCTGTCATTCTTCCAGACTTTGAAGGGGAAATTCTTTCTCAACCACAGAACGTCACTTGGGGTATCAATGAGATGGTAAAGACTTTGAGTTATACAAAGACGCCTAAATTTAATAACAGCTTGGCGCTTTCCTTCTCTTGGAGATATCTCCTGCACTTGATTGGAGACATACACCAGCCTCTACATGCTTCTACTATGTTCTCAGCCCAGTTCCCTGATGGAGATATGGGAGGCAACCTCTTCATGATCGACTATGAAGCAGAAGATATGAATAATCTACACTCCTTGTGGGATGCTAGTGTTGACCAATATGGATCAATTTGGGCTCCCCTTTCTGATGATGAATGGACCTCCATCGGAGAATTTGCTGATTCTATTATGAAGATGTACCCAAGAGAATCAGTTCAGGCCAGAGTAGACATTACTGACCCAAGAGTATGGGCCAAAGAGAGCTTCAACCTAGCCAAAGAAGTAGTCTACAGCGATCTCAAATCTGGCGACAAGATCACCCCAGAATACCTAAAAATCGGCAGAAAAGCTGTCAACGAACAACTCGCAGTCGGTGGCTACAGACTAGCCGATGCTCTCCTGAACCTCGCTCAAAAACGTTACTCAGAATCCATCATCAAGCAAAAACTTCAGTCTTCATAATTGCTATCCATTCAATTTATCCACTTCAAAAAGGGGTTTTGGGGTTTTGGGGTTTTGGGGTTTTGGGGTTTTGGGG